AGTGATGTTTATATTTTTGAAATCATACATTGATGAGTGCTAAATGAGAGAGATACTCATGATTCCTTCTTTTGTTTTTGTTTGTCCCTAGCTTCTGGACATCTGATGATCTATTGGACACAGACATTTGCAGAACAAGAACCAGCCAATGAAAACGTCTATTGCCGATGCTATTGCTACAACCAGAAACTGTGACAAATGCAATATACATGTTAAGTATTCAGACATCTGACAGACAAAAACTTTGAAAATGATAAAGTATAAGTATTGTAGCGTTTTAGTAGATGTTAAATAGTAGTAAAAAAGTAGAATTGTCCTTCCTTTGTTTTTCATAAACACATTTCCACATAAGAGTTAAAATAGTACCATACAATGTTATCCTTTTGATAGATCAGCTATAATATTAGAATCAGAGTTATGTTACAGCCATTAAAAGTGACAGAAGTCACAAATTAGGAATATGCCTTTGCTCAAGCTGCAGCCGAGCTTTGGAGTTAAAAAATAGTGTAAATATAGAATTAGATAAATGCATCAACCATAGATGCTTTCAAAAATAGAGATTATTCTTAGCCAGTGCTAATATCAAATGGTAAAGGGACCATTTCACAAGCATTTACTTCAAAAGTAGATAAAGTTAATTACAGTTTATGTACAGTTTTATTAGATACCTTCCAAATTCACTTGTGTTCAAACATGAGTGAATGTTGACAATGCAAAAGTTCATATGAGTGTAGCCTAGATTAATGCCTAGATCAATGAAATAGATTAGAACCAACAGAGATTCAAAAGCATTTAAAAGCATTTTGATGCATTTGTGTATAGCACAAAAACACAATAGTAGATATTTAGATATTGAGAAGTTTCCAGCACAAACACCATTGTAGAATAACTGACCCCAACCCCAAACCTGCTCAAATAGATTAGCTCTTGTAAGGATAATACTAATTTGATTAATGATGTACATTCATCCCAAACTGCCTGACAATAATATCTTTAGATAATAAAAAGTAATAAATCACTGACCACTATAGAAGTGTAAATGTTGACCATTTGCCTTACTGTGTTCACAGTTTTATTCCTGAGAATGTAGAAGAGAGATAGAACCAAATCCCACTAACAATATGCCACTGATAATGAGAGTGTAATACCACAGAGAGATTTATTAGATTAAAATGTATGTTTAAGAATATGGCTCAATAGAAGCAAAGATGCAAACATATTTGTAAATAGATTAGAATAGTTTAAACTATAGTGAATAGAGAGTAAAGTACACAGTCTAAGATTGAAAAGTGAAAATACAGTGAAGTGAAGAACAATTATCATTAGAATAAAAGCATAAAGTAATAAAAGTGAAATTAGCTTCAAATTTGAGACTCAGCTCGTTTTTGTCTGTGTTTTGACTGAATCTGCTGAGTTCTTGTGTGTCCAATAGTGTTTGTTTGTTTTTGTTTTGATTTGTTTTTTTGTTTTGTTTATTTATTTACTTTGTTTTTGTTTGTTTTTTTTTTTTTTTTTCCAGGATAGAGGATAAAATCCACTGATATTGATTTGGATGATTATGAGTTATAATAATTTTGTAAAGTTTTTTTTGGGAATTTTTTTTTTTTTCTTTTTCCACTTTATTGATTGATCAAATTGAATGATCACATGTGATTATGTGATCAAAGGGGAGGGTATTAGTATTAGATAGCAATATGGCCTACGTGCAGGACTGTACAAGGACTCTACAAGGACTCCATGTTATGACTATGATGTGACTGTCTCTTTGTGACACGTATGTCTTTCGATGTGTGACGTGACAATGACTATATAAACTGTGTACTGCCTTTATTCTGTCTGAGGGAAAGAAACAGAGTAAACCAGTGGAACTTGAGAGAAACTTAAATAAACTTCCAGAGTTTGGCACACCACGATCCGTCTCTGTCTGCCTAAATCCTAACAGATTGTTTATGGGAAAAAAAGTGAAATTATAATATGACATTTTTTTCACTTTATGTGTGCTTTTTTGTAATCCACTGTTGACTCCAGGGTGATTGGGGGGTTGAGTGTTAATGCCAGGAGGAAGCAGGTTTTGAGGATGCAAATCGGGCACTGTCCTTTTGTTGTGTTGGTTCTTCCTGTTCTATCTGCATATGAAGGTGTGTCTTGTAGTATCAAAAAGAGTTTGCAGTCTGACTAATGGTGCTTTCAAACGGGCAACGCTGAAACGCACGTTCTCTAGTTTTCAGACGCAGGGGTCTTCAGACCAGAGGTCCTGGCGCGCGCAAGAAGTGCCGGAAGTAGCCGGCGGGCTATGATGCTGAACAGAGTTTAGCTAGCGGCTTCTTGTGTACAGATCTTCTCTAATAATGCAGCTTTGTAGCGTGTCTGTCTTCAGAAACCTTCCACAGACTTTATAACAGTAGTCAGTGTTCACGGAGGTGCGCAATAAGTTTATTTCATTATTAAACGGTACTTCCGCATTGGCGAACACGCTCGAAGCAGTTGCATTAAGTCACGGGAGCATAAAAACTCACATGTTAACAAGCACTCTATCCCCCATTGTCAATGATGTAGCTCCTGTTTTGGCTGTTTACGAGTATTTTCAGTCTGCTCGCTCGGTCCGCAAATGTCCCAGTGACCACTTTGTGGCTCTCTGATTGGTTGCTGCACGAACGTCCTGAGGAAAGGTTGAGCAAAATCCATCTCCTGCGTTCATCCCCTTCAACTTCCCAAGCGCGGTCCGTGCGTGCATTCCGAGACGTTTGTGCGTTTTGACGCTCGAACGCGCGTCACCATTGACTTGGCATTGAAAGCCGACGCAACGCATGATCCGGTCCGAACGCGGCATAAGGTCAGACACGTTCTGGACGAGGCTGAGCCGGTGGAGCTCTGTCTCTCACGGTCTCTGTGGAATGCAACCCAGTATTAAAGAATGCAGGAACGATGTCTTTTGTGTATGTGTTTTAGACAGGAAGGACTGTGGTTTAAACAGCATTAACATTGACCTTCTCACTGTAGAAATCTCTCAAACATATTATGGATAGCAATATTATCATAGCTCTGAAACACAACACTCAGAGCAGTGTCCTGGGTGTGTCTGAAGCAAATGTTCTGGAGAGGAGAGCATTACCACAGGGTAAATAAATGAAAGGCAAATGACAAAACCAAAACGGAGGTGAATGCAAATGCCCCAATAATGGAACTCGAGACTTCAGATTACAGCCGCCACAGTTTACACGAGTCGTTCACATTTGCATCGGTATTAACTAAAAGCTTTCATTTTCATAACTGTTCATCACGACGACGGAGTAAGAATTTGTTAAGTCAATTCATCTGAAAATCTCAAAGCCTAAAGCCTGGGGTCTATCTCTAGTTTTATGTATATATATGTACTTATGTATATTTCCCTCTCTGTCACATCTTTAGATCAAGAGATGGACCACCCTCAATCAGCCAATCAGCTCTCAGCCCAGAACTATAAATAGTGACGCCTTTCTTACAAGTCTGCAAATGAAAATAAGATTTCCTGGGAAAAATGAAATCTATTATCTATGAAAAAAGTGAGATAGCCCATTTTTAAGTGATGGTCAAAATAGTGAATTTTATAAAGATAATACATTTTCCAAGATTCCAAATGTACAAAATATACATAAAACAATATACTTGAATTCAAAATTGTATTCTTCAGATCAAATCCAATGTTAGTGAAGCATGGCTAACCTCTTCCAACATGTATGAAGGAACTTAGAAGCATGGCTAACCTCTTCCAACATGTGAAGGAACTTAGTAGCATGACCAACCTCTTACGACATGTATTGATGAACTTTGGAGAATGACTAACCACTTCAAACATGTAAATGCATGTAGACGCATGTCTAACCCATAGACTGTAAAGATAAACAAACATAGTCCCTCCGTTCTCCGCCGTTGAAACTAATGTGCCACCTCTTTTGCCTTCTATGGGCATTTTCAAAATGGCCACAGGGCAGGAAAATGTACGCATTTGCGATTGCGTTAGCCGGCAAGAGCCCCGTTCATTTCACGAGTGCACTCAAAAGTCTAAAGCTCCTAAACTAGCATGCTAAAAATAACTCCCCTCAGCATTGACACACATCTGGAACGTAGCCTTGGGCTAAGACCCGACTTTTGGATCATCCTGTAAAGCCGTTTCTCAGAGTAAAAACAAGACTCCATACAAAAGCATTGGGTAATTCTCTTTCTGGGTACACACCCACAGGCCCGGAGTGAGATTGCATGCATGTCAGTACCCCACTGGGGTAACTAAAACCAACTTGGTTGCATGGCTTCCAACCTCAATAAATGAACTTAGAAGCCTGGCTAACCAAATCTGTTTTCATGGACTTTGAAGCACGGCTAACCACTCCAAACCTACTAATGCCCAGGTGAAAATAGACCAACTTTGTCAATCATTATGTTGTTTCAAGTAATAAACCAATTTTTTACATTCAAGAAAGAAACTATATTTGTAATTTAAATGTTGTGAAGAAGATGACAAAGTCTGGGATTGTGCCTTTATTTCAGACAGAATACATGTTTTATTGTTGATGGTAGAGCATGAACAAAAGATGTTACAAACTGCAAGTGATAATATAGCATGGAGGAATGAACACCGTCCAATCAGCTTTCGCCGTGATGCCAGTAGCTTGGCCTTCAGATAAACAAAACATCAAGTGGAAAAGTACTGTCTCCTGCAAATGTTAGAATGAGTTTGAACTTTTTTGCTTCAAAGTGTTATGAAATATCTAAAGTTGTCAGAAGAGAATATATATATATTAGAATAAAGTCTGTCCATTTTAACAAAATGTTTCCATAAATACATAAAACTTGTCATATCTGGTCCCTCATAGGTAAATTCAACCCGGTGTTGTTCGCCACATTTGACATTATTAATAACTTTCTTGCATCTTTACATACCCTCATTCAGCCGTGGAGCTGGTTTTGCATACGTTCTCAGTATATTTCTTTCCCCTTCATCTTTGTCTCGTTCCACAAAGACGATGTCTCTTCGCGTTGCGCTGCTCCTGTTGGCGCTGGCACCTGGAAAGTCTTCTTCAAAAGAATGGTTTCAAAACATATCTACCAGACTGTTCGACTTACCTGGAGATATTTTGATCGGAGGCCTATTTCCGATCAATGATGCCTCCAGCAACCTCAGCGAGCAACTCAAACCAAATGATATTGAATGTTCAAGGTAAGACTTTTATTCATTTATTCATTTCAAAGCTGGGGCACCTAACTTTTTTAATTTCTTTCTCACAATGTATGGAGTATGTTGGTGCCATCAGAATGAGCCGTGTAAAATGTAAAAACCACAGCTTGTTGAGTTTTTCACATTAACTTTTGAGAAAGATCCCTGTGAGTTACTTTTTGACGCTTTGAGCTGAGAGGTGATTAGCTGGGTGAGGGTGGTCCTCTGTTTTTCACTTTTCAGATCTAAAGATGTGACAGAGACCAAATATTAAGTCTGGGTGGCACTGTGGCTTAGTGGATTCTCTCTCTTATCCGCAATGCTTGTTCTTCCTGTGTTTGTGTAGGTTTCCTCGGGGTGCTGCGGTTTCCCCTACCACTAATAATAAATGGTGACCTCGCTCCCATCTCTGTGTGGAGTGAGAGACAAATGCTCACCATTGTAAAGTGCTTTGTGATTATTTATACATAAGCTTCTTACTTCTTACTTACAAATCCATGCATGTGGAAACTAAAGTCACAGAGCCAAACTGGTTAGAGAGGAACGTTAATGATAGCAATTTTATTACATAGTTCCTTTTTACTTGTTTGAAATTTAGGTACCCCAGCTTTAATGCTTCTTTGTCCCGTCATGATATATAGCGCAAGTGTATACGTATTAGTAAATATATACTGTATATATAGTGTTTCCTTGTTGCTTCTTTCAGTCTGGATCCATACGGACTGGGGCTCGCCATAGTGATGAAGTATGCTGTGGATGAAGTGAATGCCAATCCGAAGCTTTTGCCTGGGATCCGTCTGGGTTACAAAATACATGACACATGCAGACAGTCCTCAGTCATCATCAGACCAACCATCTCCTTTTTGACAGAGAAATCCACAAAAGTTCTTTCAGTGCAGTGCAACTACACCGACTATGAGACCAGTGTAGCTGCTGTGATCGGCCCCAACGGCTCAGAAATGGTTTCGGTGATCGGAAAACTACTTGGATTCTTTCTCATGCCACAAGTATGTTTATACTTTCACACATTTCTTTCAATTGGTTAATATTATTCTGCCTCAAAATGTGGGTTTCACTGTCAGAGTAACTTTTATCAAAGTAAATAATAGTAATTCATTAACATAATACAAACAATAATACTCACTAATATTTTTTTCTACAGCTGCAGCTAAAATCCCAGCTTCTACAAGCTTCTTTGTGATCCACATGTTCTCTTTGTTGCTTAATACAAACAAATATTATTAAGGCTGAGGTTATTTCCTAATGACTGTGTTGTCTGTTGACTGCCAATAGATCAGTCACCGAGCCACAAGTGACCAGTTCAGCGACAAAAGTCTGTACCCATCATTCTTCCGCACCGTGCCCAGTGATAAATGGCTGGTGGAGGTGACGGTGCTGCTCATAAAGGAGTTTGAGTGGAACTGGGTGGCAGTGGTCGGCAGTGAGGAGGAGTATGGCCAGAGGGGGGTGCAGGAGTTCTCCAAACTGGCAGAGAAGAGCAAACTGTGCGTGGCTTACCAGGCCCTGATCCCAGTCTACACAGACCCAGCACCAGCCATAGAGGTCATCATCAACAACATCAAAGCCTCAAATGTCAGTGTCATCGTGGTCTTCTCTTTGTCAGAACCTACAGCTGCTTTATTCAGAGAGGTAGAGAGCATCATTTGTCATTTACGGTACAAAATTATATGGACAACTCAATGTGTTTGAATGCAGGTTGTAAAGCATCAAATCACTGGTGTGTGGATTGCAAGCACAAGCTGGGCGAACAGAGTGTTTGAGATCCCAGGTATCCAGTCCATTGGGACTGTTATTGGCTTCACAGATAAGATGGAGAGTGTGGACTTGCTGGTAGAATACGCACAAGTTCTGTTCATGAAGATCAGCAAAGAAAACTTAAAACCGACTCAGCAGGAGCAGAGTGAATCACACAATCCCTGTCCCCAGTGCTGGAACCTGTCTGTGGCCAACATCAGCCTTATGGAGCAAGTCGGAGTGAAACAGGCGGCTTTCAGCGTGTATGCTGCCCTCTACAGTGTGGCAGAGGCACTACACAAGCTTCTCTTGTGCGATGACAAAGCATGTGACTGGAAACCTGAGACAAAAGTGTACCCCTGGAAGGTGTGTTTGGGAGTCCTCGCTGATGGCACCAAATATTCAAATTCCGATATCATGCAATAACATGTTTTGTTTTTGTTGCAGCTCTTACAGGTTATGAAAAATATTTCTTTTTACATTAATGGAAAAAGGTTTGAATATGATAACAATGGAAACCCAAACATTGGCTACAATGTGATCCAGTGGGCTTGGAACAACTCAAATCTACTTTTTAAAAATGTCGGAGCATTTCAACAACAGACTTTGTCCCTCAACAAATCCCTTTTCACGTGGCACACAGAGGGTTCAACGGTATGTATACCGTCTCAATTTACACTAAGTATGAACAGAAATGGTTGAGAAATGTATTATTGAAAAGAAGCTGTAAAGCAGGAGTCAGCTCCTTCTTTCCAAGCGACTGTCCTTAGCTCAAGGCCTCTTCATTTCAGCTATTAGCAAACACATTCCCTCAATAAGCCAGTGTTCTTATGGCTGACATGACTGTGACAGGTGCCAGTGTCGACCTGCTCCGCAGCCTGTGATCCTGGACAAGTGCGTAGAGTCAAAGGGTTCCACTCCTGCTGTTTCGACTGCATCGATTGTCAGCCCGGAACCTACCAGGCCGACGCAGGTCAAGAAGCAGGACGTAACACAAACATGTTAAACACTAGGCCTGCAGGCAGACCTTGACCCTTGAAATGATTTTCAATTATTATGATTGACTTGCATCACTGATGGTATAGCGACTTCCTGTTGCCTATAGCCGAGACGAGATTGGTCCAATAAAAGCACATGACGTGCTAAATTACTATAGAATACAACTGGCAGGCTGGATCCAGTTGCAATGTATTTTAAAGATTAAATGCTGCGGTCACAGACATAAGCCAGGTCAAAATGATGGCCCCCCAAACGTGCCCCATGTGGGTGCCCATAATAAATAGCAAATATTAATGGACATCGCCATGCTTATCTCCGCCATTGAAACTAATATGCCATCACTTTTGCCTTTTATGGGACACTTTCAAAATAGCTGCAGGGCAGGAAAATGTGAAAAAACTCATTTGTGTATGCGTTAGCCGGTACAAGCCTTAAAAGTCCATAGCGGCTAACTAGGCTGGTCCAAAAAAAAAAAAATCCTCTGTGCATTGCCACTCATCTGGAAAGTGGCGTTGGGCCAAGGGCCGACTTTTGGAAAATCCTGTAAAGCTGTTTTTGAGAGTAAAGAAGATGCCGTACAAAAGCATTGGGTAATTCTCTTTCCAGGTCCACCCCCACCGCCTTGGAGTGAGATTGCAAGCATGTCAGCGGACATGCCCATGGACATTTTGGAACCTGGACCATGGATCTATTATAATGACTGGATAGGGTATTACTAGCTTGGAGCTGAAGAGCCCATGTGCTCGGGGGATTCTTGCGGTACTGCAGACTGAACCAGACTAAATTCACGTGGGCTACCCAGAAATTTTCCCCATAGAACTCAATGTATACGAAATAGGTTTGGGCGATATGAGCCTCAGCATGTATCACGATTTTTGTTGGTATGTATCACGATATGACGATATGATAATTTTAACAAAGCCTCATATAAAAGCTATAAAAACTTAGCACTGATAATTTTAAACACACTTGCCTCAAAGTGCATTTACTGATTTATTGGCAGCAAAATGTGTAATACAGCTATTGTATATAAAACGTATTAACAAAACTGAATTGTAGAGAATTCTGTTTTGTACATACTGAAAATTGCAGGCAACATGTAATAAAGGTGAACATTTGTAATTTGTAAAATATATAAAAGTTTGTCCTTTGTAATATAAAAAGTGTAGCATTATCAAATAATTATTTGATCACTTTGGCTTATGTTTCCTAATCCCAATATAGTCAAAATGATCAAATACTGTATATATTTTTTGTATCCTTTTGAGTTTCTATAATTATGTAATTATAACTTATTTGTAATTATATTGTAATGTAGACAAACACATGCATTGAAGTAAAATGAATGACAGTAAACAGTAAATAAAGCTTAGGGTTAGGGTTAGGGTTAGGGTTAGGGTTAGGGTTAGGGTTAGGGTTAGGTTAGGGTTAAGGTTAGGGTTAAGGTTAGGGTTAGGGTTAGGGTTAGGGTTAAGGTTTAGGTGGGGGTCTAACTGGTTAAGTTTAGGTCAGAGTCTAACTGGTTAAGGTTAGGGTTGGGGTCTAGTTAAGTCCATGGGGTGTCTTTGTTCCCAGTAATTTTATCCAGTGACTGGCTCTGTCTCTCCTCTCTGTGTCTGTCCAGGTACAATTAGCCTGGAGTCCAGACAACTCCAGAGCCTCCAGGCCGTGCACCAGGAAGTGAGACAGGCAGAGTGAGGAGGAGGAGGAGGAGGAGGAGGCCTCCCTCCTCTCCAGTGCACCCCTGAGTCTCCCCACGTGTTCCCCAAGTGATCTGCCTGTTTCTCCCACATACTGTAATTTACACTTCTTGCACCTAATCAAATAGACTACATTATGTGTCTGTAGGCCAAAGAACTGGGTCACTTTATAAAGGACACTCTTAGTCGTGTTGTGCACAAAAGTCCTTCGAATCAGAATGTTTCCCTCCCTGCTGGTGGGTTCTGATTCCTGGAGCGGCTTGAGTTTGGCTGTGACCAAACGGTCCTTCAAATTTCTATTCCTCCTGTGTGCTGCAATGAATCTATAATTTGGTAGAAGTCCTTGTGTGTGAATGAATTTGTCATAATTGTCCCTGAGTCTGGGTCTCAATAATAGTGCAGTCTCTGAATAGGTGGATATGAAAGGAATCACTTCCCCCTGGGGTTTGTCCTTCCTCTCCTCAAATGTGGAGAGGCAGATTCTCAGGAAGGACCTGGAGTATCCTCTCTTCCTCAAAGCCCTGAACAAGGTATGTACTGCCTCTCTAAAGTCCTCGTCCTGTGTGCAGATGCGTTTGAATCGGATTAATTGGGATTTGACTATTCCAGCAAATATGTGTTTGGGATGGTGACTTGTCTTGTAAAGGAGGGCATGTGTGTCAGTTTCCTTGAAGTAAACTTTAAGATCCAATGTATTTGATTGGTCGCATAATGGTCCTTTGAATACTGTTGTGTCCAGGAAGTCTATACTGTGGGGGCTAACTATGTGTTTGAGTTTGATTGAGGGGTCAATTGAGTTTAATTTGTTTGTAAATGTTTCGAATTCCTTTTGTGAGTGTGTCCAGATGCCGAATATATCATCAAGATACCTGTAGTAGGCGAGTGGCTTCCTGGGGCATTCCCCTAAGGCCCTCTCTTCCCAACATGCCATAAATATATTGGCGTAGGAGGGAGCAAAGCGTTTCCCCATGGCCGTTCCCTTGATTTGTAAGTAAAATTGTCCGTCAAACTCAAAGTCATTCCGTCTCAGGTTGATGTCCAGGAGCTGGAGGAGTTCCGAGTCTGGTCTGGTGGGGTCTGGGTATCTGGTCATCATGTTTTTCACTGCCTCAAGTCCTGCTGGGATGTCAATGTTTGTATATAAGGAGTCCACGTCCATAGTAAACAAAAAGGAGTTTTTTGGAATTGTAATGTTTTTAACTAATTCTATAAAATGATAAAAATCTGGTTACGCACACACAAATCTGGTTACACACACACAAATCTGGTTACGCACACACAAATCTGTTTACGCACACACAAATCTGTTTACGCACACACAAATCTGTTTACGCACACACAAATATTATTGAAACAATAATAGCTCCATATTATTCACCATTAATATTAATATTATTCGACATTCACCGTCTATGGAGACAGCTCCAAGAGAAACCTCGAAGAGGAGACGGCTGCAAACCTTCTACATGTGAAGCGCAGCGGTAATAACCAAACTGTTGAATATATGCCCGTCCTCCGTCATGCACTGTGCTGTTAAAGCCCTGGTTTGCTAGTTTTACACCGAGCCAGAAGCTGTTATAAACTCGTAATGAATGAAAGTTGGGCTATTTGCACAGTCAATGCTATTATTTTATTATTGCACTATTGTGCTAGAATATACCTGAGTTGTGTTAAAAGTGTATAATTTAGTACATTTTAAGACATAACATTATTTTGGGTCTAAATAAGTCAATTTGGAAAAAAATGGCTTATTAATTGAATGCATTTGCTGGAATGTTAGAATATGACATAAGTATGGTGCAGTGATCTAACTTCTAGTGATGTTTAAAAGTAATGAAAGTAAATATCCAAATAACTGATTAAATTAATGACTTCCTTTTGTTTCTTCCTATTTTACATATTCCCCATAAGACTCAACTGTTAAATACTGGAGCTGCAAAGGTTGGTGTAGTTTCCCCAGTGTCAAGACTACAATCAGGATGGCTGACTCAGTGGCGCTGGTGCAGCTAAAGGCCAACAGAAGTGCAGCCAAGCGCCAGTTCTCCCGCCAGGCCAACAATGTGCTCAGAATGTACAGCGTGCTCTCCGAAGAGGAGCTTAAGGACAGTTTCAAAACTATGACAATAGAAGCAAATAAAGTTTTTGAAGCAAATGACGACGTGGAGGAGCAGTATACTACGGAATCAAAGGAGGAGGGAGGAGCAATCAGCGTGGAGCAGAGGGCAGACTTAGACAAGACAAAAACTGAGTGTGAAACCAAACTAGATGAACTGAAAGATATTATTCTGAAAACTCTCTGGTCTAAATATGGAGAGGAGGAGCTAAAAATTGTTGTAGAAGCAGCAGAGTCTGAGGCAGAGTGTGTTGGTGCTATTGAACTCAGTCAAGATGAAGAAGGCTATGATTTCTTGGTGAAGCACCTGGGAACACTGGTTGGAAGAGTCAAATCTCTTCACACAATGTGGAAGTGCTGGGCCCCTGCCGAGGAGCAGGCGAGTCTCCAGTCTCGTGTGAGTGACCTGGAACGAGCGCTTCTGAAGTTAACTACTCGAAAAGCACATTTCATTCAAGCAAGAGTCAACCACGGTACTACACCAGCCGCACAACAGAAAGTTATCTCGCTCCCGATGTTTACTGGCTCCAAATCAGACTTCCTCCCCTGGAAGAAGGACTGGGTGCTACAGCAGAGACAAGCAGCGAGAGAAGTTAAGAAGAATCAACTTCTGGAAAGCATAGATGACAGGACAATCAGAGATCTCCACTTGTCAGGTCTTACGACTGCTGACGAGATCTTCAAAGTTCTTGTCCATCACTTTGGCAACAAGACGTCTGTTGCCTTAGATCCTGTGGAGGATCCTCAGAGTTCTCCACCATCCTCCAGCAATAATCCAGAAACCTCAAACGCGAAGCACGAAGATGAGCAAAATGGCGCCGCGGTTGTGTCGTCCAGTCTTCCCCCGGGATGCGTCGTGTGCGGGGACATGAAACACAGTCAAAGATTGTACTTCTGTAAACAGTTCCAAGCACTAAAGTTATCGGAGAAACGAGAGGCAGTGAGAAAACTGGGGGCTTGCGTTAAGTGCCTTCAGACGCACGGCGAACAAAACAAATGCAAAGACGAGTACTTCTGCAAACGTGCCGAATGCAGCGAGAGCAAAGACCACCACTTCCTCCTGTGTCCTAAACCACCCAAGGTTAAAGCCGCCGCGGTGGGAGGCGACCGCAGGAGTTACACCGACGCGCAGAAGGAGTTTGTGAAGAAGCTCCCACCAGGACTGGCGAAAGAATGTCGCAACGTCTTCAACTCCTCTGGAATCAAAACGTTCTATGCAACAAACAACACGGCCGCCACCGGAGAGAGGTTCGCGGTGGTGGCCAGTCAAGATGCGGCGCGCGGGAACAGCCAGCGATGGGTCAAGGATTGGTACGCCCAACGGCCCAGCAACAGATACAAGCAGTACAGCCCGAGAAGTCAACCTCAGAAATGAAGTCTCCACAAGGACGACGGCTCCATGATGTCGAAGAGTATCCCAGGTTAAAACGTGGTGCTACCTCCTTTGTTTGAATCTAAAAGCAATGCGTTTGTTATAATCAAAATGATTCTTCCCACTTTGTATGAAAATCTACCTGGAGAAAAAACATAGGACAAGTTATGAAGAAATGTTACTGACAAAGTTAGCTCATAACGGTTAAAACTGAAATGATTTGATTTTGAAAATAATGGAAAATGAAGTGTGAATTTGTTCTTTTTCTTTTATCCATTAACTTAAATAAAAAAAAATCTCAATCACTCTCATTGTATTGATTTCATTCTAATTTACACTTAAAGTCATATTTATTTAGCTCTTTTCACAGCGGTAGTGTCCCTATTTACCAAACTTCAATATAAATGAATAAGCAGTGTTAACTCGCAGCACCCTCGGTTACAAATATATACTGTATGACCCAAGAAAGCAAAGAAGCTAATATGCTACATTGCCACATTTGGTCACAATTGTCTTTTTGTCTGGGTTCTACAGGGTTAATAAGTGTCATTGTTTTAAAGAAGTTTTTCTATGGGAATACACAGACAGTAAAGCTGGGGTTCATAACGTTACAATATATTAAAGTTAATGTCACTAGTTCCTCGCTCTAAAACCATTTGGGTTCTATCAGTACGTGCCTGTATTTTGGTCTGCTTTTTCGGAGAGAAAAGGGAAAAAGATAACATTTCAAAAATGTCTGCGTCTATGGACAAGGACTTTTTAGAAAACTAATAAGTGAAGTTGATGAATCAATCTTGAAACAAAGAATTTCCCATAGGTGTATATTCAGAATAAAAAACATTTAACAGGAATTGTGAAATGTGTGTAAACAACTTTAACAATGTAAGTTATTGTTTGTTGTGTGTGTATTTTTGTCAGGAAATGAGTTTTTTTTCAGTGTCTCATAATATTTAAAATAATTTCATTTGGCACCTCCTGCATGTGAAAAATCTGATCCCGTCAGACTTCTGAAGCAGTATAATGTATACTCTCATGGTTCCTCTCGTTACCTTGGACTGCAGATACGCCCGCACCGTGAGCATCTCGATGGTCTTCTGCTCGATCAGACTCAAGTAAGACATAATGTTGTTGTCGTTGACGCCCGAGGATGATCCCAAAATGTCTTCAATCACAGACTGGTCGCATTCCAGTTTAGTGAAAATGTTCTGAATCCCTGAGACACAATACACAAGATTTCTAGTGCAGCACAGAAAGCATTTGGCTACATTATATTTTATTTTTCTAAAGACGTCCATAGGAAGCAGGGCCGGATAAATTGCGACACCACAAAGACATTTAACTGATTGAGCCATTTCTGGACACTGCACTGGACATGCCTCTTACTTTGTAATTAATCATTCCCAACAACAAATGATCTCAGTCTACAATACTCCACCATCTTTACCTTTCAAACATGTCTGAAGTATATGATCTGCACTTATTTTGTTCTTACTAAAACTACCAAAATATATATCCAAACCCATAATCAATAAACTAAATAATTGGTTCAACATACCTCGATATACAGTATATAATATAAACCGGTATATACACAAAAATGAACACATATGCAATGAACAAATGTGGTAAAAGTACTTGTCACACACACACACACACACACACATACTGTATATAGATTAACTTTGGACAATACTCCAATTTTCCGATTTTCAGCTGTATGAAGAAAAACATGCAAAGAGACCAAAGCCCTGGATGTCATTTTTGGGCACCCCTTGCGGCTTTAAGAGTATCACTGAGAGCTGACAAAAGCACATTATGCCCCAGATTAAGATTTATACCCCAGCATTAACCAAGCCTAAGCCAGCAGGTCTGATTTGGTCCCTTGGATGCAGGTTGAACAGGGCCCACTTCCAAAGAGGTTACATGTAAAGCCTCCAAACCTGTTTTAACTTGATCCAGAGTTTTGCTCAGACCGTCCGCTTGGGTTTCATACTCTTCAGCTTCAGATAGAATTTCCTTTTGTTGTTTGTTCATTTCTTTGACCAACAGACTGTGATTCTCCTCCTGCAGCAGAGTCTCCACCCGGAATTTCTCCATCTCCTCTTTGATCTGAAACAATCATTCACAGCATTCTAAGTCTATTCTTTATTGTTTTTAAAATTGCATATATCTAAAGTTGTGCACCTGGTTGATCTGCTCCCTCAGAGATTCGGCCTCCTTGTTTTGTTCATTTACAAAATTGAACAGGGCAAAGTTCCTGTCTTCAACTTCAGAAAGAAAATGGATATTATAAATCATTCGTAAAGGGAAAAACAAAAGTCAAAAATTATTTTAAACCAGGGAAAAGTCATTACAGAGAAGAAGTGCTACAGACTGAACAATCTTAGTAAAGTGACTCACAACGCTCTTCATTTCAAGTATGCAAAAATAACCTGGTCTGACTCGTTCACAACATTTTACTTTGACTCTTTCTGTTGGGGGATGAAAAACATCAAAAACATACATTTTTCCTTAAGTAATTCTAGACGTGAATTTATTTGATCACAACATATTGGTTATAGTAAGATCTCAGAATCCTAACCTGTTGTTTCTGTCTCAGAGAAGACTTATTTAAGTGCAATACAATGCTACACTTCAGGCAAAGTAGAAGAGTAATAAAATGTTGCACTTTAGGTTTTCCGTGATCCTTGAGTTCTCTGATGGTTCTCTTTGCCTGCGTCTATTTTGGTCTGTTAAATGTTTAATGTCTACTGTGGTGTATGCAAATGTATGAGGTGTACAGCTTTTGAACCCTTGTCCAAAGACACATTTCTCCTACAATAAAGGAGAATATTATCTGATTATTGTTTCTGTACCTTGAAGAAATTTAGCCACCATCTCATTCAGGTCTTTTTCTCCTGTGACTTTCTGAATCCTTTCAAACACTTCCTCTAAAGACTCCAGCGACTCTTCACTCAGAGGGTCCATCCTCCAAAGGTCTTTCACATCCGACACTGTGAAAAAGCCAATAATCAAAAACAGATAGTGTCTCAACAGTTAGAAGCGATAGTGATTTTATGTATGGGGGTTTAGAATACATGCATGCGTCTTGAATTCATGAATATTGGTACACTGCTGAACAACAACCTCATTCCCACTGCATAAAAAGTGATACAGATAGCCATGTTCAAACTATTTGGCATTTAACTTGCCTCGTAACATTATTTTTTTGCAGAAGCGTGTTTAAAGTAGGGTTGCAAAGGGGCCTAAAATTTCTGGAAATGGGGAATTTTGGAAATATGCCATAAAGAAGAATTAATTGCAATGTACTTCAATTGTATCGTATCCAAGCATATATGTTTTAGATTACATTTGAGCCTGAGTAGACGAAACAATTTTGTGCTTTGGGCTCTATTATCTATCTGTGGTTGTCCTCTATGTCTTCTGTACATGTGATGGAGGCACAAGACCAGTAGGGGGCGTGCTCTCAATAGCAGTGTGATATGTGCATAGGATTGAGGGTTTGAGCATTGGAATGGCATTTGTTTGTTTTAGTCAAGATTATGATAAAAATACCTTCCTCAACTATATTCAAGTTCCCGATGAAGAACCACCATTACATTTGTAAGTGTCCCAGTTTATTCTAATAAATTCCTGTTAATTCCCATAAATGCCTATTAATTCTCTTAAATTCCCATGGCAAGGTTTCATCTTTGAAATTTCCTTGAATCCCAGGGTGAATACTTTGGCCGAACACAGCAGTAAAACCAATCAGTTGCTTTGACCCGCTGTCGTCATTCTTTACCCTGCTTCTGCTCCCCGTCTCCAGGGCGATCGTTGCACTTGGTGGTCATGAAGCAGTTGTGGTTTTGGTCGTGTGAGATCAGCCTCTCCAGCTCCTTCATCTCTGCGTTGTACTGAGACAAGTCCTTCACAGTTTTCTCCTTCATCAGTGACATTTTGGTTTGGGCCTCCACTCTGCAGGTAATATTGCAAAATTACACAGCAAAGAATAACTAATATATTGTCTGTCATGTCAGTATTAGAAGCATAAGGGTCTGACAGTCAAACTACTATCCCTTTTACATAGGCCAGACAAAAAGGAAGCTGGAAGTATGCAATTAAAGCTGGGGTATCTAACTTTCAAACCACATACAACAAAAATTATGTAATATTATAATATCCATGTAACAAGTCCCTTGCTCTCAAAACAGTTTGCTTTTCACATGACCATATTTTTTTCACAGTGAGCAACCTTGCTCAGTTATCAACCCAAAGCCTTAAATAGAAAGATTTGTAAAAGATAACATGTTTTGTAAAATAGATTAAGACAGCATGCAAACTGATGCTTTATTATTATTATGATTAGTTATAGAAAGTTTTTAACACATTGTCTATTCTAGTTTTTGCTGTAAATTCATACATTTCTATTACCTTGCGTCATAAGCAGCTGTGGATTGGTTTATGAGCTCCCCAATCTTTCTGCGATCTTCTTGCAGCTTCTTAAAAATAATGAATGTATGAAAGAAGAAGAAAAGCACATCATAAAACTAGCCAGTTCTGCTACATAATCCTCATCTGTCAAACCTTGTCCAGGCGTTTGTAAAGCTGCTGGAACCGAGATCGTTCAATGTGCAGAAGCTGGAGCTCTTCTCTCAACTGCTTGTTCCTCGTCAGCTGCTCACTAAATCGAGCTGAAGCCTAAACAAACAAGTACAATATTACAAACAATGTTATGTACAGTTCATGAGTTTTGGAAGTGTATGAACATGTTTGGTCTTCATAACTTTGTGATTTTTTCTGTTTCTTTATGTTGTGTTTTTCTGCGCCATTGTTTGTTAGTATAGCCACCAAATATAGCAACACACTGTTTACTTGCCAGCAGTTTTCATTTGGTAGCCTTTTATCAATTTTTTTTGCTACATTTAAAGTTTTATTCACCAGTCTTGGCTCTTGGTATAGGAGAGTTAAGGTAAAAAAATAAAAACCTGGAAGAAAATTGAACTTTTTGGAGGGAATTTATTGGGGTTTCATTGTTTTGAACGGGAGCAGTCAAAATGACGGCTCTGGGAGTTCTAGTAGTTTCATAATTATGGTTCCCGTTGTTAAAGATGAGTTGAAGCAAACCCATTTATTTCAATTTATGTGAATGTTTTTTGTTTGAAATAAATGAGATAAAAAAGCAATTAAATTCAAAGACCCGAGGAAATTCACCCAGACACGGGAAGAACAAACAAATCTCTATGTGGAAAAAGATTTCTGTTGTCTTTCATAATCTTTGAAAAGTGGTGAAAGCAGACATGCAAGGTCTGAGCCCTAACCTACTCAACTGTACTCTAAAAAGAAAATAGGGTTTGAGGCCCCAGTATACATCAAAACTATAGTTACAGTAAACATTAAAAGGAGGGCTGCACGATATTGGAAATTAGAGTGATATTCGATATGAGTTTTTAGTATTGCGATAACGATATTATTGCGATATTTTTGTCTTTCGTCTAAAATTGCAATCTGCATTGCAAAAAAGCACAACATTAATGACATTCAAATGCATATATTTATATACATTTTTGTTTGTTTGTTGTCTTTAACTGCCAGCCGTTTTTGAGGATTTCACTGAATCTCAAGACCCACAGAATATTATGTCTTATGACAATGTGAAATATGAAACCAGATTCTGAAAGACTGGATTGTCTACTTTCATCAGCAAAAATATGTGTTTCTAGCTATTTGTGTTCTCCTGTAAACCCAAGTTGAATAGAGGGATGTTTGAGAGAAATCACCAGTCTCAGACATTTACGTCAATGGCAGTCAATGAGTAATAAAGGTTAACATTTTTTATCGCGCAACTTTTCAATATGGACATCGCACGCACCAATATCGCAAAAACTATATTTTTTCGATTATCGTGCAGCCCCAATAAAAACTATAGGCACCAGTAAACAACAAAACTATAGGCACCAGTAAACAACAAAGCTATAGGCACCAGTAAACAACAAAACTATAGGCACCAGTAAACAACAAAACTATAGGCACCAGTAAACAACAAAACTATAGGCACCAGTAAACAACAAAACTATAGGCACCAGTAAACAACAAAACTATAGGCACCAGTAAACAACAAAACTATAGGCACCAGTAAACAACAAAACTATAGGCACCAGTAATCAACAAAACTATAGGCACCAGTAAACTATAGGCACCCGTAAACATCAAAACTATAGGCACCAGTAAACTATAGGCACCCGTAAACAACAAAGCTATAGGCACCAGTAAACTATAGGCACCCGTAAACATCAAAACTATAGGCACCAGTAAACAAAACTAGGGTTACATGCCCTTGTGTTTGAAGAAGACGACTGACATTTAAAAAAAATCACAGGTTTGAGGCTGTATTTCTTTTTCTATTCTTTTTAATGCATTCTGATTGTTTATTGCATTTGAATGCCTTGTGTGATTTTAATGTTTCATTGTCCAATGGAGGGCCACAACTATTCAGTGTTGTTTAGCAATATAAATGATTCGTGTTATAAATCAAGCATCACATCCAGTGCCATTACGTCCACTAAGTATGGCGTTATCTATTTTCACTTTATTCACACACTGCTAAATACATCTCAAGTGCTGCATTCTGCCCAAAGGGTTATAACAGTGAACTATTGTGAGTAAGAGTAGAGCAGCGATAGGAAGTAGTCATGGCAACATGGTGGGTAAGGACCAACTATTGATGTGCTTAGGATGGAAAAGGTATTCATTTGAGTAGTCCTTTATTTCTTATAAAGTTCCAGATCAAAAGTATTTTTATAATGTACTGTAATTTTTATCGTAACATACTAGCTTAGCCTCCTTTTCATCTCCTGCAGTCTTTTCAGTGCATTTCCCCCCAAATAACACCACCTCCTCACAGAAATAAGACTCATTATAAGGGGCCCATCATAATAACATGATAAACATCATAATAATAATGCATCAGTTTTATATAGTGCTTTTATGGACACGCAAAGACGCTTCACATGTCATTATTCTTTCACGCCATACACGGTGGTGATAAACTACTACTGTAGCCACAGATGCCCTGGGGTACACTGACAGAAGCGAGGCAACCAGTATGTGCCATTAACCACACCACCAGACTCAGTCTGGGCAATCTGGGTGAAAGGTGTTGTCTAAGAACACAACGGCAGTTTGGCACTTTACAGCTGCAGACGCCCCACAGTGGCACCTGATGTTTCCAGAGGTCTCCCATCACATTACTAACCAGGCCCTACCCTGCCCTGCCCTGCACAGTTTCAGAGGTTTGAAGGGATCTTGCTATCATATGCAGGTGTGGCCAAATCATAGACACACCCAGACTTCCCTCTCCACACAGTAATACTTTGTTTTGCAATCAAACTATTATGAAGTATTACAAGTTGTAGATGTTAACTTGTGTAAATTAGCTTTAAATGATGTCTCAGTGATTGCAGGTGGATAATAATCGTTGAAAAGCTTTTGTAGCAGACTCACTCGGTCCAGTTTGTTCTCCAGGGTGCGGATGGCTTTCTGAGTCTGTCGGACCTCAGCCTTCACTTTGTCTCCGCGGTTCACCTCTCCTCTCCTCACCTCCTTCAGCTTCGCTTCGACGCTGGCGATCTGCGCATTTACAAAAGTGTGCTTGCATGGTCACATCACCAAAAAATACATTGTATGGCCTCCTAGTGAACAACAAAGATTATCGTCAGTGAGGCCCCCACTGAGTCTGTGTTAATATGGCATGTTAGACAACCTTTTAAGGCTAGTTTTATAAAGAAAACAACCACACCTTTGACCATAAACATTGCACCCTGAACGCATTAAGTGAGAACTAAAACTAAAGTAAAGATTATTAAACCCAGTCCAAACTACAAAACCTTGTTGCCTTTGGTCCATTTTTTGTTTCAATCCAAGCAGCTGTTTGCATTTGTTCATAGAAATATATGAAAATATTTACCAGTACTTGGTCAAAATCCCTTCCTGACAAACTTTTCTCAAACGCTTTATCAGGTTTTTACTGTTTTTGTATCTTTCTTTCTGTTTTATGAGTATAAATGTTCATTTTCTGTTATTTTAAAGAATGAAGCTTTTGTAGCGTAGGTCCTGGTCTATAGCCCGTCCGTACATGGGAGCAGATCCCTCTCTCAATGTGGGTCTCCCCGAGGTTTCTCACTTTTTTCCCAATGTTTTTTTTTTAGTTTTTCCTTGCTGATGCAGTGTCTAACAAAAAGGACTGTGGTGATGATCCAGGACACTTTAACATTCTACAACATGTATGGACATTTATCAACATTCATGGACATTGGTGTTCATATGTGTTCTATATTTTTTGTGTCTAAACTGTTGATTCTCTGTTCTGTGTTGGTGATTTCAATGGTTTTGTTCCTTTGAGATGACTACTGTTGTGATTTAGGGCTATACAAGAATAAATTGCTATACAAGAATATATTGTATTGCATTATGTTGAAGATGAACATGTTTCAGACGTATAGGGGTATATTTATCAATCCAGGAGCTAAACTTTGTGGAAAAAGTAAAACAGCGTGAGCAATTTTAGTGGTTTAGTTCTATCTCTGCTTAGATCCATTAGCTTTAATGATAGTTTTGTTTAAATATACTCCTAAATGTGGCCCTGCTTCCAACCTAAATTGAGTTTGAGACACCTGAACTAAAACACTATTATTTACTATTTCACCCCTTACAATACGACCTATTTTCTCTTACACAACTGAAAAAAAAAAGCAACAATGAAAATTGTATTTGTTGGAGCACGGACAGGACTCTTTGTGAAGCTGAAGTCCTGTAGTTTTGGCCTCTGGTGACTCATTTACTGGAGATTTTGGGACCAACAAAAAGAGACGGAATATGTGTAAAATCCCTATTCACTTTTTTGCTAATTTTTGGACCTTACTTTTATATAGGAGGGATCCATAATTATTTTGATCGTTCACATTTTCAGGAGTTTGAGGAGGCTATTCCTTACTGCTGTCACTAGAGGGAGACAAGGCACTACGGCCTGTTCATCAAATTACGTCAACATTTGTGGTTGATATATGTATTCGTTTTTTATGTTTTTCAGAAAGAACTTGATTTTGAATATATGTCACAAACAACATGGTATTAGAGGGAAGTCTGTATTCACAAAAAACATTATATTCTTAGCTTAGAAAACATTTACTGGTAAGAAAGAGCCCTTTGAGTCACTATTTGACGCTTTTGGCTGAGAGCTGATCGGCTGAAAAAGCTGATCAACAATACATGCATGTGAAAAACCGTAGAACCAAACTCTTTGTGTTTTTGAAGTCAGGTACTCCAGCTTTAATAACCTGTGCATGACCCTGATGTGAAACCAGTACAGACCTCTTGCTCCAGTTTTCTTTGTCTTTCCCTTTCTTCATTAAACTCCTCTTCGATCAGTTGAATCTGGTCCAGGATGGTCCTCAGTCCCTGGACCTCCTCTTGGTCCTGGTTCTGTCGGCCCAGGCTCTTACACACTCCCAGGGTGCACTGCAGCTCTGCCTGCTCCTCCAGCAGCTTCTGAATCTCCTGCCTTCACACAGAAACACTCATGAACGACTGAATAAAGCCAGAGCAATTATATTTAATTAAGAAAAATGTGTAGTTTATTCCTTTATATTTTGGTCATTAAACCTGATGTTTTGTATATCTTTTCAGGACTCAGACATATCAGAAGCAGTGGTCGCCCTAGTTCAGTGCCCGGGAACCCATCACCCATTGATGTTCAACGGGGGCACCAGAGCTGGAGCTTTTATTGTGCATGTTTTTTAATACAGCTCTGCTTTTCTCTCCATGGCCTCGCACCAAAGTACATCCGGGACATATAAGTGCATGTCTTCCTGAACATTTTTGGCAGGCTTCTTCTCTGACAATGTTCAAATCCAGGTTACAAACAGTTCTGTTTAGTTGTGCATACAACTGAAGGGTTTTTATCTTTATCTTGTTTTTCTTTGCACTTTGAGTTGCCTTGTATATGAACTGGGCAACACTAAGTGCTTTACATTCTGGTTAAAAATGGTCCCATAGGTTCATGACCCGCCAACCCGTCCACCCAGCAGACCCACCCCAAACCACAAAAGATAGGGCAGAAGTAACCAGCTTGAAGCAGCGTCATCCAAGGAGGGGACGACACAGGACCCAGAAGAGTGAGGAGACTCCAGACCCCACCAGGTCCAGGAGCCAGACCCCCACCGCCACAGCTGACGCTGAGCTCCTCCAGCAGACTGTTCCATTATTTTATGTATTTAGACTTTATTAAGGACTCACTAAAAACATGCACACTAGATAAAATCCTCCAACTCCTGTAGTCCTGACCAAGCTGAGCGTTGACAACTGGAGATGGGCTCCCAGGCGCTGTACATCGGCGACCACTGCTCCTGACATAAGCCTTAGCAGCATCAGGATGGGTCAAATGCAGAGGATGAATTGCCCTAAGAGGATTAATAAAGTGCACCTCTTCTTGAGTGATTCTAGTGACACAGGACAGCAGGAAAGGAGCGCATTCTCAGCAAACATCTGACTGGACCACTTTGTCTGGGATCTTCAGCATCCTCATCGAGTTATAGGCAACTGTTAACCTCTGCATACTGGCTGCTTGTAGCTCCGCCACAGTTGGGCTGTGTATAAAGGAGCACAAAAAGATTGGAACGAGGAGGTTTTTACTGTCCTGACTTTGGAAATGATTAGGAGTCTGCTGCAGGAGGAGCGCAGGGCCTGAGAAATAAGAAGACCCAAGACCATTAAGACATTTTAAAGCCAGTAAAAGAACCTTAAATCCGATCCTGAGACAATGCAGCGATTTCAGGTCTAAAATGCAATTAAAAAGGGCATCCATTGGCCTGGTGTCTCCTGATGACACTGCCAAGAGGGAGCATGTACAGGTTTAAAAGGACTGGACCTAAAATGGAACCCTGGGGCACACCACATATGCTTTTATGGACCTGAGAAGAGGTTTTTACGTTTGTGTTTCATAATTTAGAATGTGAACAATGTAGAGCGTATGGATAAACAATAACCTGTGCTAAAGCTGGGGTACATAACCTTTCTTTTTCATAAATGATACACTTTCTTTGACAGATGGAGTCTTGTAAAAGTATAATGTTGTGAACCTGTCCACAACATTCTGTCTTTATCTTATGAATGATGAAGAGTCACTGAGAGTCACTGATTGACGCTTTGGGCTAAAAGGGGATTGCGTGAGTGTGGGTGGTCCTCTCTTTTTTACGTCTGAAAAAGCTGATCTGTGTAACAATGTCAAAAAAATAAATGCAGAAAAAATAATGAACTGTTTTTGGAGCTACAAACTAGTTTGAATACATAGTGTTTTCTGGAGTCTAAAAGAGAGGTACCCCAGCTTTAATATCGGACAAGTATGTTAATGATGTTGTGTGCAAAAAACATATACATAGATACAGAGAGTAATCAAAAACATCAACACTTTCTAAAATCCACTCATAAATGCTTCTTACTCTTGTTTGCGGATCTGCTTGCGAGCTTGAATGCCGTACGCCTGACGGTCCCCATCCATGATTCTGTACTGTCTCTGCAGCTTTGCAATTTCTACAGAAAAAAAGCATATTTTCATCTTCACACTTTGAAAAGTAACTGGCTCCGCCCACATGATGATTTGAAAATGTTCTTTAAAAAGGGCGTTGCCTGGAGGACCAAAGGACATGAAGGGGGGTTTAGAGTTGGGCGTGGTCTGGGCTGTGATTGACAGCTCACTTGTCACACGAAGAAAAAACAGACAGTTGTCATTGCTGCTTAAAGCAATAGTTTATAGACCAGAAAGTCTCATTCCAATTCCAATTTGATTTAAATGGCATTTGACAGAATAAAACTTAAACTCTGTGTTAGAAAACTTACGATGCTTAAGTTTGTTGTTGTTTTTTTCACATAAACCCACAGGGGCACCATAGCATGTACATAACATGGGTAGATGAATCAGACCCAGAAATGTATTCCATCTTAAAATATCCCCCTCTTTTTGAAGATGTTTTGGTGCGAGCCAATTTTAGTCAAGTCTAAAGGAGCTTCACAAACATTGTTATGCCCTTTACCTAACGGCAACTGTGCCCAGTGTAACAATACAGTCAAAATAATTTTGTACATCCTCACACAATTTTTTAAAATAAATTAAAAGTGTTATCACATGTTCATCACCCCATGTCATTTAGATGCCATGGTGCCCTTGTGGGAAAAACTACAAGAAAACTTAAGCATCGCATCAGTGGACACAAGAGCTCCATCAGAAGTAAGGATGGGGATTACCTATTGCTGTACATTTCAATGAAAACAAGCATGATGTCTGTACCCTTAGATTTTACAGCATTGAACATGTTCCTCCCCCAATTAAAGGAGGCGATCATGACAAATGTGTCAAGCAAAGAGACTCCTACTGGATCCACATTTTACAAACATTGGCTCCAAAGGGTAACAATGACGAGCTGAACTTGAGAATTTTTCTGGTAACCTGTTTGACTGTACATTGATCATATATTATGTATTTTGTATTATATGACCAGTGTTTGGATGTTATGATGGATGTAATGCCACAAGGTCTATTGTTATTTAACTTTTGGCCCACATCCATTAATGTATGCACTACTGTTTTGTATTGTGTATGGATATGTTTTGTTTGGTTTAATGGTTGGTGCCTCTTTTGATGTACTTTCCCCTTAAGAGGGTCACCCATGGAGCGAAAATAGCAATTTGCCCGAGGAAGGTGTCAGGAACGAAACGTTGACATTTGCCAATTTTTATTTGTATTTTTTTTTTTTTTTTTTGCAAGGACAGCAGTGTGCGGAAACCATTATTTGTAATATAAATTATCATTTATATTTCAATTTCGGTTGCTTGGTAACCAATTATGTCAGCAAAAGCCTGTTCTTGTATTTTCGTACTCTTTGGCATGTTGTGATGTCAACTGAACATAACCTATTGATTAGTTTAATTTGCACGGTAGATCATTTACATGAGGGACAGACTAACGTTATAAAGTGAACTCAAAGTATCTGTAGTAAAATGATGATTACCGGAAGCGTCGACGTCCATCTCGCTGTCGTCTGTGCACGCGCTGATGGCAGACTTCCCTCGGGGCATGACGGCGGACTCGTATACGGACTTTAGCAACAAAAATAATTATTTCTTGTGTATATTAAACACGTGAGCTGCTACTGCACTGACCAATTACTGCCACTAGAGGGCAGTAAGCAGCACTGCTCTAGTATAACCCAGTAAAAAAAACCCAACGGAGTCATGATAGGAGAAAAAATGTCATGTCACAATCAATTCATAAAGTGAAAATAGTTTCAAGCGGTGCAAAAAAAGGTACATTAGTCCATTAACGCTACCTAACCAAGTGGTATTTAAAATCTTACTTTCTGCAAGTTGAATTGACACAATGTCTGCATTACAATCAAAACGTGAAGAAAGAACCGGAATAGGAATTGCCTTTACAAACACATTACATTTAATAAATAATATTTTAAAATGGTTTCGTTACAAATACGCTAAATGTAAAATTGATAAAACAAAGTAGTCACTAACCAACGTGTCTTACCAGCTCGAGCTCCCGGACTGAAAAGCTTTGTTGTTGGCAACTGTTGCTATGTGCCATGAAAGCTGCCCTGAGAATCGTTTTTTCCCCTTTTCAAACATTCAACATGTTACCCAGATTTACCTGCTATAAAGAAGTCTACTATATATGTATATGCATTATGTTTACTTATTTGTGAAGAATGTATTTACAAATGTATACTTTATAATGCTTAGAATACACTTGACTATAATATCACACATTCACTATTAATGCATTTCACAAACAATTCAGTTATGTTAAAAAAGTTAATGCGCAGATTCTGTCTTGAGTTTGAGGCTGCGGCTCGTCCTCAGGAGGAGTCGGAGGAACTCCCTCCAGAACGGTGCAGAAATACTCGGCTTTGTTGAGCTCAGGTTTCCTCATCATCAGAAAGCACTTGGGGAAGAAGTACGCTGCCATCAGCCCAAAGTTACTGGACAGAGAGAAAGAGATGTGGACAATGGACTTCTGCTTGTCTTTCAGCCCGATGTAAATGGGGATGAAGGTGACCCAGATGACACAGTAAATGAGGCAGGAGAAGGTGATGTCCCGGGACAGGTTGTACTGGTGAAAAGGCTTCACAGCCATGAAGGTGCTCATGAAGGAGACCAGGGCCAGGACCACATTAAAGCCCTGTAACAGACCAAAGCCAATATCCGGCTCCACAGGGCAGCTCAGAAACGCACGCACAAAGGTGATCTCCATTTTCTCCATGTAGGCTGAGAGAGAAGGGCCCTCCTGCACAAACCAGCCACAGATACCAGCCTGAGCCACACAGCAGGACAGCACCAGGAGCCAGCTGCCCGGGCCCCGGATGGTGCGGAGGTGAGGGGCGGCCCGCTGAGGGAACTCTGACACAAAGAACACCTGAGGATGTGTTTAAAGGCAGAGTTTTAGTTTGATCTCATCTGGTTACAGTCAGTGTTGTCATTAGTAAAGTGTCACCTGTAGAGAGATGGAGGCGAGGATGGACAGAGCCACTGTTTGCCAAATGGAGGTGAGTGGCACCTGCAACCGACACACTGTGTCTGTGGGCTGTCCCAGGAACAGAACCAGGCTCAGGCACGCCCCCATCAGGCCAAGCAACGCCACAAAGGCCAGTGTCCCACCTGAGGCCAGCACCAGGGGACTGCTCCTGTGTCTGAGGAACAGCAACAGCACTGCGCTCTGGCACAGCAGCAGCAGAGCTCCAGCTATCACCATCACCACAGACTCTGTCATGTCCCATGACAGGACCTCAAAGGTGGGATCAGTGCAGGACGTGCTGCGTATGGTGGACCATTGGCGCTTTGGACAAGGTCTGCACTGAATATCACCTGGAAACAGTGACTAGAGATGAGATATGACACCATAAAGACAGTATGTTACGTTGTGCTTCATGACCTTTGTCAGCCTGGAAGGTTCCAGGCTGACAGTCGATGCAGTCAAAGCAGCAGGAGTGGAACCCTTTGACTCTGCGCACTTGTCCAGGATCACAGGTCGCAGAGCATGTGGACTCTGGCACCTGTTTGGATAGAGTTGAACAAATACATTAGCATGATAATACTTTTGTCACCAGACAAACTCAAGTTACCGTTGAGTCTTCAGTATGCCATTTGAAGAGGGATTTGTTTATGGACAGTTCAGTCAGATAACTCCCCACATTCAGAATGTGTACATTTGAGCCTTCCCATTTCCAAAGGACCACTTGGTATCCAACATTTGGGTTTCCATTACTGTCCAATTGAAACTTCGAGCCATTTATGTCAATGGAAGTATTCTTTAAAATGTGCAATAGCTGCAACAACAAAACATACTCATTAGTGTATGTATTATGTATTAGTTACAGCAAGAATCCTTTGCCAACAACTTTGTATCAGACTATCAGTGAGATTAGAGTGCATCCTATCACATCTAAGACACAATGAGAGTTGACTTTCTACTCTCACATTGTTAGGATAGTCAAGAAAATATAACTTCCACTTTGAGTATATGGTCTATAATATGGGGGATTTACCTGCCATGGAAAGACCTTTGTACCCCGTTTCCAGTCACAATGAGTGGTATTACAGTTCAGAAGCTTGTGTAATGCATCTGCAACAGCGTACACAGCAGCATAGACACTGAAAGCCTGTCGCTGGACCCCAGAATCCTGCATGATGCTGGCATTGATTGGAGACAGCTCCCAGCATTGAGGGCAGGGATCACTTGGGTTGTTGTGGTTGACGTTGTTAGGTGGAAGAGTGGAGTTTTTTCTCTCTTCACTGATTTTGGAAAAAAGAGTTTGTGTGTATTCAGTGAGCTGATGCACATCCTCGGTCTTGTCTGTGAATCCCATTATGGTACCTATACTTTTCATCTCAGGGATTGAGGTGAGCTTTTGGTTGTTTGTCCAAGAAGTGCTGCCAATCCACACACCAGTCACATTTCTCCTTATGACCTAAAGGAAATTAGTATTATTTATTGGATTATTACTTCTGATTCTGACTTTTTGTAACTTAACTTTTGGAGTGTGTCCCCCACTTCAATTGAGTTATTAATTAACCTGAAAAGTCTAATAACATTTAGAAACTAATGTTGCTTATGCGCTCCTAAACACTATGGACTGGGCCATTCAAAGGACATTCAAATAAGATTATTTGGATAATTACCATGTTGAAACATGTATCATTCTTTTGTTCTTCTTATGACGGACAACTGTCTCATGCTGGTGTTAAACTGGTTACTTTTACAAAACGGAAAAGAACATTTTCAAACCTGACAAGATGTGCACTGTCTGTCCATTTTTCGCCCCAGTAACACCCTGTTTGCAATGCCAGATTGTGAAAATAAAGCATCTAGATAAGACCTCTAAAGCACACGTAGAAGATACCAGATAGTTTTCTATCTCCTGAAACAAGTCAAATGTCTGTCATCCCACCTCCTTAAAGAATGCAACAGCAGGTTCTGACAAAGAGAAGACCACGATGACGTTGACGTTAGTGTCTATGCTGTTGTTGATGATGACCTCTATGGCGGGTGCTGGGTCTGTGTAGACTGGGATCAGGGCCTGGTAAGCCACACACAGTTTGCTCTTCTCTGCCAGTTTGGAGAACTCCTGCACTCCCATCTGGCCATACTCCTCCTCACTGCCGACCACTGCCACCCAGTTCCACTCAAACTGCTTTATGAGCAGCACCATCACCTCCACCTGCAACTTATCACTGGGCACGGTGCGGAAGAATGATGGGTACAGACTTTTGTCGCTGAACTTGTCACTTGTGGCCCCATAGCTGATCTAAAATATATACAGTGTACAATGTTACTTTAATGGCTCTGGTATTTTGTAACAATCTTTTTTTGAAGTGCAGCATTTAACACGTTTCTATTTTAAAAGTTAACGCCAATATTGTAGGAAATGTATTTGATCATTAAAATCTGTTCTTTTTTTTTCTTTTTTTAGAAGGACAGCATGTGTCATTTCCCCACATCTCACTCCAGCCCTTATAAGGCATCTGTGATAGGACCATAGAGTTGTTCACTGAGACTCAGACTAAATTGAAACAGATATCATGCATGTGAGACACTGTTATAGCACTGAAGCTGTTCTGCTTTGCCTAAACTTGTGTATTTAACACAATTGATAAAAACTGTACTTGTTGCTTTAACCAATGTATTGCATTTATGTTATTGACCTGCGGCATGAGAAAGAACCCCAGTAGTTTCCCGATGATAGAGACCATCTCGGAGCTGTAGGGGCCAATGACTGCAGAGATGCTGGTGTCGTAGTCAGTGTAGTTGCAGTCCACAGAGAGCTTCTGTGTCGATCGGCTCGTCATAAAGGACAGGGTTGGCTGCACAATCACAGCGGGCTGTCGGCACGTGTTGTAGATCTTATAACCTAATTTAACTCCAGGTAGAAGTGCTGGGTTCACATTGATTTCATCTATGGAGTACTTCATCACTATGGAGAGGCCAAGTCCAAATATATCCAAACTAAAAAAACAAAAATACAATGAATGAAGTACAAAGTATGAGCAAGGCAGCCACAGTAGTAAATATTAGATGTACCACCTGCACGTGCGACTGTAAAGTGAATGATTTCAGAACCACATTGTTGTAGTCACGTTGTTAACTCAAAGCTGTGTAAATATAAATACAAAATACAATTAGAATTCGTGTACCTTGCACATGTGAGGTTGTCTGGCTCCGTCCGCTCACTTAAGTTGCTCGACAGCAGGTTTATTGGAAACAGTCCCCCCAGGGTTATATCTCCAGCCAAATCAAACAGCTCCGTGGAAATGTGCTCAAACCAATCCTTTGAACTAACTCTTGCCTGGCTCCAAACACAGCAACAGACAATAAACCTGATCATAATTGGAGCCATTGTGTGGAACCAATGAGACTCAGAAGGACAGTAATGGGAGAACAGAAAAGTACTGTGATGTTATGCAAACTCACTCACAGGACAGTGTCAGGCCCCTCCTTTACCTCTATCCTAATGGTGTGCATCCAGTTCCAGTTGTATCTAATGTAGCATAAACAACCCACACTGACCACCACAGCAGAAATAATGTATGTTATATTCATTGTTCTCTGTAATACATGACAGTGATCAAAAGCTTTATTTAACCCTAACCCTAACCCTTTTCGCATAAGCCAGTTGGGGCTAACTCAAACCCTTAACTCCAAAACCCTAAGGAACGCCCCCTGGCGGATGGGGCTGGGAAATGCTGTCAAATATTGTTACTGAGCTTTCATGAGTGTAGTTACACGATATATGATTTGAACTGAACACATCACTTAAAAATGACTTTAAATATAGCCTGTTCTGTCTCTCCACCTGCCTCCCTCTACTGGCTGAAACGTGAAATGCTCATATGCAAATGAGGGCCATTCCAAAGAGGGCCATCTTGAGTTTCTTCGCTAACCCTAACCCCAACCCTAACCCTAACCCATTAACCATACCGGATTTAAAAGCCTAAAACTCAACCACTCCTGTTCCCAAATGCCTAAACCTAACCGCCCTGACACAAAAGCCTAAGACTTAACCACCCCTGATTTATAATGCCTAAAACTTAACCACTCCTGTTCCAAAATGCCTAAACCTAACCGCCCTGACACAAAAGCCTAAGACTTAACCACCCCTGATTTATAATGCCTAAAACTTAACCACTCCTGTTCCAAAATGCCTAAACCTAACCGCCCTGACACAAAAGCCTAAAACTTAACCATCCCTGATTTTTAATGCCTAAAACTTAACCACTCCTGTTCCAAAAGGCCTAAACCTAACCGCCCTGACACAAAAACCTAAAACTTAACCATCCCTGATCCGTATTGCCTAAAAATTAACCATTCCTATGTTTAACCAAATCATCAAAATATAAAACCTAGCCCCAACCTGAAACACATATCCTAACCTTAACCATTTGGAGATAAACACCTAAAACATAACCTTCCCTGTGCTTAATAAAGTTAAATTCACCCAGAAACAAATCCACGGACACTATTGCTTTAAGAACAATTTATTAAAAGAGAAAAACATCACAGAGCAACTGTATACAAACAATAAAACATCAAACTATAGATACATAGAAACTGCACGTAGGCCCCAGACAACGTCACAATGACATCATTTGCATACCACCTGACGGAAGGAGGCGCATTAGCGCAAGGGGGGCGTGCTCTATCATAAAAGCCAACTCCACCCGCTGCTCACATCAGTCTGTGTGTGAGGCCTGAGGAAGACGGACCTCCGTCGAAACGTTGCCGCTTAACACACAGACTATTGAAAAAAAGAAAAAAAGTGACTTACCTTACAGAGAAAAAGTTACGAACCTTATAGACCACATGGTCTATAGACTGACCATGAGGGAAGACTGGCCTGGGTCACAACAACAATTCTTCCAGCGACCCAGGCCCACCCAGTATAATTGGAGGGCCAGTGCCAACACTCTCTCCTCAGAGAGACACCCGCACGCTAGTCCCCTGGACACACTCTGCTGGGAGGCCTGACCTATGAGGCACTGGTTTCCTTTCCACACACCTTCAGCAGGGTTAAAGAAATAATTTCAGCCGCTGGCCTAGACATTGTTGAGTGCCTGAAGTTGGGGATGGAGGAATTAAAATTGAAATATTTCCCTGTTTTAAAACTCACCGACCCACACAAAAACTACGTTGTGCAGCGTGTGGCAAACAAATTCATGGCAATATATCCGTCAACGACACACCCCCCCAAGGAGGCTCAGATTGCCAGCTTGACTTTGGACATTTGTATGCAGTTGGAGGAGCGGGGATTGTGCTATCAGTCCAAACTCGAGCGATATGTGATGTTTGGCATGCCATGGCTCGAACCAGTTCTTCGAAGACTGCCAGATATGCAAAAAGAGCAGAAGCTCACACAGCTTACGTTTGTCAGCTGTGTGGCTCTCCGCATGAATGGAGAATATGTTGACTACAAGAGGATGAAGGACCTTGCTAATGAGATGCTCCTAACGCAGTCGACATTGAAAAAACTCACCATTCAAGGGCATGAATTGCTGGAAAATTTCACTGCGTTTCGAGTTTGGAAGTTGAACAAACAAATTCCTTACCGGCTTTTAAAAACATTGCCATCCGGGAGAAAAACTGCTTCCAAAACCTTAGACGAACCACCGAAGCAATCAAGCGATTTGGATCGGTGCGAGGAAGTTGAAGACCAGGTCCCAAGCATCAAGTCTGTCAGCAGGGTGCTTCCAAAAGGCATGAGAGTGGCGTGGAGTGCACTTGAGAAGACACTGGTGAATACAGACAGCAACATTACCCACAGACAGGCCTACAGCAGATATCTAAAGGTCTGTCAGGAGACTAACCTCCAAATCAGAACATTTCAAGCCTTCAAAACAAAGAGAAGGCAATTAATGACTGAGGCTTTGTAAATATTGTGTGTGTTCCGTGTGTTCTTAGTTGTTGGATAAGTTAGTTTTATAGTTAAGCAGTTGATATCAAGTTCGTAGGATAGCAGAAAAAAAAAAATAAAACAAAATAAAAAACAAAAAAAAAATACACAAAAACATACATCCCCCACATGGACTCTGCCTTGTCGTGGCGTGGGGGCTTAACTGCCTCTGTGGTCCTGTGAAATGTGGAGAATGGGTCTACCTAGCAGGGCTATTGACCAGCTGGGTTGGGCCAATCCCCACAATTCAATGGATCAATGAGGCAAAACCAAAGAGTCCAAATCCTAACAAATCAAGCCAACCATTTAACAGACTTTGGCACTTAATAAAAGGACAGGTATGGGTCGCAGGGGCCTGTTATTGGTGTATGGTCAAATAAAATTGTCAGATATTTGATTGTTTTACTTTTTAGTTGTTTTAATTTGTTAACTTGTGACATCATTACCTGCTGTTCTCTCCCCTGCATCTCCGCTCCTTGTTTAGTCCGTCGCTTCCCAGTGTGTGTGCGCATGACCCAATGTAAGTGTGAGAGTTTGCATGAATAGCTAGTATTATCATTAAAAGTGTATTTGTGTAACTTGCTTTGTAACTTGTTTGAGTGTGTTTAGTAGTTTATTATTAGATGTATCTCATTTGTCTGTCAATAGTTTATAGTGTCTGCTAATATGTTTTAACTATTCATACTTTTTCTGATCATTTTTTTCACTGAGTTAGGTTTTTCCTCTCGTTTTCCATCGCTATAGTTTCAGTAAAGTTAATTTTTCTTAGTGCGAGCATGCGGCCGCTCTTAGTGTGTTGGCGTGGTGCGGCCACTAGAGGGAGCCACAAGAAAGCAAATAACTCCCAGATCTCTCACCTCGTTCTTTTCACCTGTTATTGCCTTAAATATTTGTAAATAGTTATTTGTATAATTTTAAGCTCGCTTTTTGCTACTGTTTTTTCCACCACCATGTAAATATTATAACATTATTGCAATTACGTGTCAAATTATTACCAAAAGCGATTTATAAACAGGTAGGCGCGAGGGCGGCTATGTGGGGAGCGGGTCCTTTCACGGAGCAATCAAAATAACTTTAGTGAAAGCAACGGGAATGAGCGCTGTGTACGGAGCGGTTGACGCTCGCATTCAGCTGCTCACACTGCCTGTTTATGAGCGGAGGAGGAGAAGAAGGAGCGAGACAGAGGTACACATCAGAAACATATTAAAGCATTAACAAACAGCGCATGCCCTACTTAAGTGCTCACAGTAGACAGTGTTAATGCAAGTGCAGTGGATTTCGGGCATAAAGAGCTTTGTTATGGTCAGAGTGAGTGGAGGCGATGGCAAAAACTTTATTTGATAGAAAGAAGCAGTTCAAAAACGATACCCTTATCCTCCGCAATTAACATGTGTTCCACACTCTGCTCTGAGAGTTTGGGAGAGGTTTGTGGTGTGTTGTGTAGAAATAAACAAAGTAGATTAATGTTGAATTATTATCAATGAATTGAAATATACACACCTATCTTTAGATTTTGTTTACAAATAGTTCTTACTACTGTAGTCGTTGTTGTTTAAGGTTTCAAATAATTTAATATGGAAGAAATAGCTTGAACGGATTTCTATTAAATAAATATTTGTATGATGTCCGGACCCTAATCTATTGAACTCATCAAGTAAGTGGACCTCATGCCAATTTAATTGGGGACCCCTGGTTTATAGTGTCTGCTAATATGGCCCTATATATTACTACTTTTTCTGATCACGTTTCACTGAGTTATGTATTTCCCATCGTTTTCCATCGCTATAGTTTCAATAAAGTTACTTTTTCTTATAGTGCGAGCACGCTGCCACTAATAGTGTGTTGGCGCGGCGCGGCCACTAGAGGGAGCCAAAAGCAAGCAAATCATTCCCAGATTTCTCTCCTCGTTCTTTTCAACTGTTATATTTGTAAATAGTTATTTGTATAATTCTAAACTCACTATCTGTTATTGTTTTAGTTTCTTATATTTATAAATATTATCATCTTTCGCCTTTCTTGCTGTCC